TTTCCCCATTCCCCAGCGCCTTTACCAGCCCAGGCACAGCACCCCGGCACAGCACCCCAAGCCCAGGCATGGCACCCGGCATGCTGAACCCAGGCACGGCACCCCAGCACGGCACCCTGAGCATGGCACGTGGCACAGCACCCAGCACCCCAAGACCAGGTACGGTACCCAGCACCCCGGCCCACTGCCCCAGAGATGGGCTTTCAGGGGCCACATGTCCGGCAGAGACCCAGGCACAGCACCCCGGCACAGCACCCCAAGCCCAGGCATGGCACCCGGCATGCTGAACCCAGGCACGGCACCCCAGCACGGCACCCTGAGCATGGCACGTGGCACAGCACCCAGCACCCCAAGACCAGGTACGGTACCCAGCACCCCGGCCCACTGCCCCAGAGATGGGCTTTCAGGGGCCACATGTCCGGCAGAGACGGTGGGAGCAGTGCCATTCCACCAGCATCCCCCGAGCTGGCAGGGGAGGCAGCCATGGGGAGCGCTTGCTCCGCTGCCAATCTATCCCTCAGCCACCTCCCCACGTCACCGCGTCCCCCGGCTCAGCCCCGGACGGTGGGCCGACCGCCTCTCCCCCCACACCACAGACACCTGACCTCTCTCCGGGCCTGATGCACCAGCTCCCGGCACCCTGAGCCACCGCAGCTCATTCCCCCTGGCAAGCCCGTGGCACGTCCCTGAGCAACAGCAGGAGCAACACTGGGCCCCCTTCCCCAAAACAAACTGGCTCTTCCATAGGCTGGACTCTGCCTCAGGGTGGGCGAGGAGCCCTGCACGAGGGAGCCCTCTCTCCATCCCCCCTGCTTGGTGCATGGGGAAACTGAGGCATGAAGGACGGCGCTGGCGGGCTGCCTGCCTCCCTGCTGCTCACTCCCAGGGCCAGCACAGGATCCTTTCCTCCATCCTGAGGAAAGGCCGGACACTCGAGTGTCCAGGGAAGCAGCCGCCTTTGCCAAATTCGGGGGATGTCAGCACCGGCTGCAGGGGGCAAGACGTGCCCCACACCCAGGACACCCCGAGAGTGGCCGGGTCCTCTGCTCTGCTCCGTAGGGAACGGGGATGTTGGGACACGACCATGTTACACAACCAAACCTGCCTGGTTAGGAGACACCTCCCTGCCCGCATCCTGCCTGCTGTCTCCCTGCCTGCCTGCTGCCCTGGGAAGGGCAGGGAGCCCCCGTCCCCACGCACAGGGGCCGGGAGTCAGCGGCTTCACCCCCTGCTACGGGCACGCAGAGCCTGATGGCAGAAGAGATGTCACAAAAAGGAGCCTCGGTAGCTTGGGAAAGGACTGGGCTGTTTTGGGGTAAGAAGAGGAGTTTTTGGTGTCGCGATGAGCAAGACTGAAAATCAATGAGGTATTTGGCTTTTGGTGTCGCGATGAGCAAGACTGAAAATTTGGCCGGGAGGCGGATTTTCCTCGTGCCATCTGCTGATACCGGGTCCTGCTGAGCCTGACATGTCCTCATGGTCTGCCCGGGGCCGGGGTCCATCTGGTGTGGCAGAGAAGGGACCTGGACGGTGCCTGTGCCCCAAATCCCCCCAGAACCCAAGGCGACGCTTCCTCCTCCTCCTTCTCCAGCCCTCCTGGCAGCCAAGCCTTGGTCCCCACCCAGGTGGCCCCAGAGCCTGCTGGGTGCCACGGCAGACACCTCGTGGGCATCCATCGAACAGCCAGGAGGGTATTTCCACCTCTCCAGCCTGCCTGGCTCCGTGCCCTGGACCACCGACCTCCTTGTCTTCTGCTTTCCACCAGCTGAGCTCCCCCGGTCCCTGAGCCTCGGCACGGGCTTGACCAGGAGCAGACCGTCCCCCCCCATTCCCATCCTTCGGTATCTGCACAAACCCTCCTCCCCCAGCCCGCACTACCCAAAACCGGGATGTGTGCGTGCGTGCCCACCTCCGTCCAGACACTTCAAAGCCGTTTATTCAGGCTCACGGCCCCCACTGGGCACCCCATCCCCAAGGACACAGATGCGTGGGTGCCACTCAGGCGGCATCCCCCAAAAGGGGCCAAGACCAGGGGATGCCAAGCAAAACCAAGGCTGCTGGGGGGGGACAAAAAGGGTCCTGTCCCCAGAGCCAGGCAGGCACCCCGGGCATTGCCACAGCACTGCCTCCAGCGCAGGCAGCCGAGGGCACCGCCAGCGTCACGCCGCAGCCCATGGCACGTGTTGGCACCTTGCATTTAACAAGCGAGCAAAGGGAGCTGCCCGCTGCCAGGCTCTCCCAAACAGCCTGGGGTATCTAAATGCCTCCGGGGAAAGGTGGGCAGGGCTGAGGACGGCTCAGCTCAGTGCAGGGATGGCTGCAGCCCCCCAGCCAAGAAGGGCTGGAAGCCACGGGGCTGCCCCGGCCAGAGGCTTTGGAGATGGGGACCACAGCCGAGCTCTCCCACGCGGGATGGAGCTGTGCCCGTGCAAGGCTGGAGGCCGGTGCCCGCAGGGGCCCCGACCCGCACCCCTCGGTCACGGCCATGATGCCCCAAGCTGGGGACAGGGAGGATGAAGCTGCTCCCAGGACCCCCGTGCCCAAGACGGGCATCACCCCCAAAGCAGGGACGGCACGCTGCTGAGCCGAGCTGACGCGGCAAACGCCGGCTGCGCAAATCCATCCGCTGCAACAGGCAGCGCGCCGGCAGGCAGGCAGGCAGGCGGCAGGCAGGGCCAGGGCGATGCCATGAGCGCAGATGGATGGAGGGAGACTTAATTACTCATTTTGCCAGCAGCAAAGCCACCGAGCGCTGTAATTACAGCGGGCTTAGCTGGAGGCGGGGAGGGACGGGGGGGCTGGATCTCCTCCCTGCCAAGCAACCCCAAGAACTGGGATGCCCACCAGAACCGGGGCGCTCAGCCAGACGGGCTCCTGCTGACATCCCCACGCTCTCCCAGCACCCCAACCGCCCTGCCCAGCCCCGCAGCACCCGAACCCCATCAGCCTCCCCCCCACACACCGGTCAAACCACATCACCCGCATCCCCACCCCCAGTCCATACCGGGGTGGGGGGCACAACTCCAGCCCGCCCCCTCCCAGGACATCTCGGCTTCCCCGGTCCCAGACCTGGCGCGGACATCCCCCTCCTGAGCCAGGACGTGCGGCCACCCCGGTGGGGGCCACCCACCTCCTCGGGGACGCGGGTCTGCTGGGCAGGGGAGGCGGCGCCCAGGTCCTCATGCATGCGGTCCAGCAGCCAGAGCAGGAACTCGAGGGCGTCGTGCTGCGCGTTGCCCCGAAACTGCGAGCTGTGCTTGGAGACGATGTTCTGCAAGAGACGGGCAGGTGGGACACTGAGCCTCGGGCCATGCTGCCCGGCACTAACGAATGGCCGGTTCGTTAGCACCCATCACAAAAACCCAGCTCTGCTTCCTGCCTGCAACAGCGTCTGCGCTTGTCCTGCCTCTGCAGAGACACCGCGGCCACCCCAGGGACAGCAGAGCAGCGGGGACACCGGCACATGCGGCCAAGAGAGCAGCTCCGTGGCCCATCGCCATGGTGCCCTGGCTTTCAGCTGCCGGGATAAGGCCGGGAGGGGACAGCTTGCTGCGGGCGACGGGACAGGGCACACCCCAACAAACCCCTACGGGCAAGCCCAGCCCGCGGGGACCCACCAGCGTCACCCGCCCCGCACGCTCCAACGGCATCAACTCGGTGTAACAGCCAGGGGAAGGCAATTCCCAGCACTGGGATTACTCGGCAGGTAGCAGCTCTCCCCCAGGCCCTGACTGCCCCTGCCTGCACGTGCTGTACCACCACCAGCAGCCAGCCCAGTGCCTCCCCGTGCCTCAGTTTCCCCAGCCAGGCGATGCTGGCGGTGCCAGCCCAGCCACCCAAGTCCCTCGAAGAGACGAGGGCTGTTCATACAGTCAAGCAAATGTGCGGCCCGTGGGCCAGGGGAGCTGCCAGCCCTGCCCGCACAGGCAGGAGGAAAGCCCCTGAGCAAACCTCCTGCATCCCAAAACTGGGGATGCTCAGCCCGTCGGAGTCCGGCACTCAGCGCCCTCTGACTGAAGTGGAGCACGTGAGACCAGGGAGGGGGACCAGAGATGTCCCTGATGGAGCCACATGCCAGGGGGTTCCCGCCAGCACCCCCCCCCCAAGGCCAGGGGTGGGGCGGGGGGGCGACCTGCCCCCCCCACCGCTG